GTTTTTAAGAAGTTAATAATAAGCTCTGGGACTTCAGTCAAGAAATTTTTTATCTTGGATGAAGTTTTCTATTCCTATGTTCTTCTCAATTATTAAATTAATTGAACCCATACATCAGAGAAATACTCATATCCCATGCACATTTCTTGAAAAAGGCCATTTTTGATACCCAGAATAGCTAAAGGAAAAATGTTCAACTTTGCGATAATAAGTTTGGCAAGGATTTAAGCAGGGATCTCACATTCAAAACAAGAAAATCAGAAAAATCTGAGAAAAAGTAGAAAATCAGTAAACCTCAGGGCAAAACAGAGCAGAAACAAGACAGAAAAAGTTCCAAAAATCAGAATTTTTCTGGTAAAATCAGAAGATCTATGATCCCTGGATTTAAGTTTTTCTGCTCTCTCACTCATAGGAATCCACTGAGTAATTGACTAAGGATTTTATATTTTTTCCAAAAACCTGGCGTTTCGTAAATTGCTTCATTAAAAATTTTCTGACTGAATAAGAATGTAGAGCAAACATTTCTCTAAAAATAAGAGGTTGGACAGCTCTGTATGATTAGTTTTAAGATTTCGACAACGATGCCTCCCTAAGGGACTAATCGAGTAATTGAGACTCGTTTACTACTCGATTATGTATTCTCGAGGTATCGCTGCCGAAATCTCAAAATCAATCATACAGAGCTGTCCAACCTCTTATTTTTAGAGAAATGTTTGCTCTACATGCTTATCCAGTCAGAAAATTTTTAACGAAGCAATTTATGAAACGCCAGGTTTTGAAAAGACATAAAATCCTTAGTCAATTACTCGATGCATGCCTCCTACTCACTCAATGAAACTGTTGTGCACTTCCCCTATGAATTAATTACGTTTTTTTTGTACTTGTACTTTGAAAAAGTCAAAAAATGCAGATATAAACTGCAAAAAGTTCAAGTATAGAAATAGCTTGCACTCCAAGTACGCAAAATAAGAAGTGTCGTGTATATAACGAACACTCTTTTGTATGTCTGTTCTAGAATGAGAATAATAAAAGCATATCTTATCTTCAATCACGCACGTGTCTGCCGTATAGCTTATACAAAAAATTTGTACTACATAAACTATATATACATCGATCTAGAGAATTATCTATAGATATAAATGTTCACGTGGAAAAGAACTGAAAATAAATTCTCTTGCGTACTTGCAGTTTGACAGAAAAGTACAGCCTATCCAACCCTGATCAGTGTCTGTTTCTTGGAAAATCTCAAGACCAGTCCAAACTTACTGTGTATCTGATTAGCAGAAAAGACAGATTTTCTTGACCTGTTCTTATCACTTTCCTGGTCTGGTCTTGGAGTTGATCAGGACAAGAAAATAAAACCAGGGAACAGACAACTGTAAGTAAATAAGTCTGTACCCTGTTCTCAGGACCAGATAAACTGGACATTCTCTAGGGTAATCATCACTTTGCATAGTTTAGAAGTGCAAACAAGGGAATTCGGTTACAATCTTCTAAGTTTGATAAGGGAATCGTCATTCATTAATACTTATCTATGAAGAATATTCCAAAGTACGATGTTTAGAATATCGCTGAGTCACTTTTCCACTTTATTTGTAAGTAAAAACGTTTTAGTTACTTGATTTTTATTTTATATTATTTTATTTAATGATCGAAGTTATACAAAGAAAGAAGAAGGACGACATTCACACATACTGATTTTATTTGTTAAACAATTAAAACAAAATAATAGTGAAAATAGAAGAGAGAAAATGAAACTGGCTAGATAGTTCTCGAAAAAAACATATGAACTGAGAAGAATGAATAATGGTTTATGTTGTGTTGTGATAAAATGAAGTTGACACTTCACAACAAGTTTATATCAGATAAGATCAGGTGAGCGCAAGGTTTTCTCCAACTTACTCATTTTTCTAGAAATGAATCGACTGCAAGATAACGGGTCTTTTATTAGTTGAGTGACGGAAACCAGTGGAAATATCTTCTTCTTAGTTGGAAAATACCTGGCTCCCACCTGAGATGATCTGATATAAACTGTTATGATATGTCATTGCAACTTATTCTACTACAACATAGCATGCTTTCTTCCTTTCTTGTGTTTCTGTTTGTTCTCGCAACTGGCCGATTAGAAGCGGCCCAGCCCCGAATATACACCAATCCACTGAATAGAAACACCGTCGACCTCTGGTTGCTCGTCGATGAAACAAACAGTCGCCTTTCTCTGCTCCAATTCGGGCAAATGGGAAAATTGCCTTAAACAACATTGCCACCGAACTGACCCCAGTAAACGCGACTCCCTTCATTCGAGTTTTTTTCTATGGTGCTACATCTGACGTTCATCAAGTTGTCTCCGCCCCGACAACTTCCGCCGTCGTGGTCAAATCAAGTCTCAGCTTAAAGCAGTACACGCCATCCCAACCAAATTCGTCAACACTAATCTCGGCTTTAGATGCTGTACACTCATCATGTAATTCAAGTTGTCGCACATCATCACGAGTGATTGTTGTACTTTCAACTGCTCCGGATACCTCTGCCGAAGCTCGCATTCGTCAGCTAGAGAACGAATACGGCATGACTATCATCCTTGTCGGCATCGGAAGTAACACGGCTATCTTAGACTTACTTGCCTCTCATCCAAGTCGAATACATGCAGTTCCATTCAGTAGCTTCACTGAACTAATGATTTCAACTCCAATCATTAGCTCTCTTGTGACCTCCGTTCCGCGTTCGCTCGACATCAGGACTTCAATATATTATGGGATTACAGTATCAGGCGTCTACTACACTGTGCAGCTTTTGACCCATGGAAATACAAATGCAAACGACTCAGTCATCGTGTTTACATCTAACTGTCCTGCGTGTCTTGTTTATCTCTCGAAATCCGAACCGAACCCAACAAATGTCAATACGGCTCAAATCAACTATGTTCAGTCGTTTTATCCCTCTGGATACGCGATGTTTTATATCCGCGTGCCTAAATATACTAGGCGAGTCTTTTTAAGCTTAAAGGGAAGTGGAAAAGCTTTTGTTAGCGGTGCCTTCGATGTGTTCTCTTTGCCAACAATGCTGGAGAACGCGATGGAAAATGATTTAGCACCAGATCTGGTAGAATCGATCGGTTGAGCTTGTCACGATCGATAGACAGTTGCTTAATTTTAAATAAATGCCTTTCTGTGTAAAGGTGTGTATTCGTGTAATGGAGAATAAAAAAGATGAATATGTATACTGAAATTGGTTGGTAGAGCAGTTGGAAATAAGTATTTGTAAATCGAATATAGAACTGCTATGTCATAGCAGTTCTATATTCGATTTACAAATATGTATACTGTTAAAATAACGAAAATGATATTAATAGAAAATAAAACACCAAATAAAAATATTATATATATCAAATATAATGCAGTCCGATGTTTTTTCGAATAACTTTTGAAAGAAAGGTGATGGAGACATGCGGCTTTCATATTCTGAAACTAGACACTTTGAGACATAAACCTATGAGACAAGCCGGCGTTCAGGTTTATCGTGGTGTACAAAAATACCCAAGATCTAGGCATCCACAAACGCCCTAGAATGTCACACTTCTGATTTATGAAATAATGACAATGACTATAGTTTTATTGTTTTAGTTGAAACGAAACACGTGATGTAGTGAACTTTGTTTATTAAAAAGGTAGTGTTAGTTGATAAAGTGAGTATGTTAAAAGTGGTTCACTTCAACAAAAGAGATATACACCCGCGATAGCTCAGTTGGTAGAGCGGAGGACTGTAGATGCGACAAGCAATTGTAATCCTTAGGTCACTGGTTCAACTCCGGTTCGCGGGATATTCTTTTTTCATGAAAAAAAGTACGTGTATGGTATTCGATGACAATATGTAAAAGGTAGGTTACGTGTTTTATTTTGAAAAGACATAACATCATTCTCTTTGCTGCAAAATCTCAAAATTTCTTTTAATAATGCCATTTACTTTGTGTTCATTCTGCTTAAGGAAGGACGGATCCCCCAAAAGGGTACTGTTTAACCTTTTCAGATTGTAGAGAACACTTGACTGCATATATTCTGTAGTCTTTTCTGAGAGCCGATAAGTATTCACGGAGTTACAACTTAATTAAGATAAAATTTTTATGCCGAGATCGCGGGAGGAAATTAGTGATATATTATTGCCTTAATAAATGCAAGACAGTGGATCGAATGCCAACTTCATCCTTCTTTTTTGTTTATTTGTCTTATTGTTGAATTTGAATTTTGTGTTATTATTTACTAGTTTTTGTGTTTTTTCACATGTTTAAAGCGTATAATACGCAAAAGAATGGAGAGATAAGAAACGTAAACAAGAGGCTTTATCACATTAATCATATAAAGAAAAAATACAAACAACTAAATTAGTGCAGATCACATCAGCCATGTTAATATGCACATGTTCTTGTAAAAAAAAGATATAAAGTTCTAAGTTTGTGTTGATGAATTTGTTTGACCTTTTGTTTGTTGCTTTTTTAAACCTTTTTAATATCCCGACGTTTATTTAAAAATGTTTCATGTAAATTAAACCATTCAGTTTTAAAAATATCATCTGATAATCGAAATTTATTTGGTACAGCTTCTAAAAAAAGGAGATGTGATAGGCAACGTATAAGATTATTTGTGTGTTAAATAAACAAGATAAAAAAATTCTTAGTCAAACCTTGTATTAAATTATAGTCATCATTAAATCTGATTTTTGTTGCATCAAGTTGCAATAATTCTTGTTGGGTAAACAATATCAATTAATGATTTTCATGATTTTTTTTTACATATAAATTCATTTTTTGTCATCACCAGTTATTGTTAATAAATCAACATCATGCCCATCGTTGGGATTTTGATATATTTAAAAAATGAAAACAAATCTTATGAATAATCGATTTCTATAAAAGAAAGAGCATGAAAAACATTTTTTTCAAAGGTTTTTTCTTCACATGTTTTCCTTCGATTTGTTTAAAGCTGTTTGAAAGTTTTTTTCTTTAACTGGTTGTTCTACATGTGGTTCTTCTAATGGTATGTATATCTAAATGGAAATAAATAAATATAAAAAGCATGTAATATTATGTAAAAAGAACGTTCCATAACAGCCGGTCTTTAACAGTACTAGTATGTAAAAGTACACCGTTAATTTGTGCATGATTTTGCTAGAAAACGTTTTTAAATTTTCATTCCGGATCACCTTTAAAACTGATAGTCCTGGTAACTTTTTTTAATATCATATTTTGTTTTAATACATTGTTGATGACAGGTTGAACATAAAAACGTTGCTCTAGACACACATGTTTTACCTAATATTTTCAATGCACCTTTCCATATCGTTGGCATTAGATTAGGTTGTGGTAATATTGATTTATGGTTTTTAATAATTGAATAACATTTTGTTTATCAAGATTGCCATTTGTATAAAAATCACTTAATAATTTTATAGCAGCTTTAATTGTTATTGTACTTTGTTGATATAATGGTTTCGAATTATCTGAATGTACATTCGGATCATTTGTTTCTGTTAAATTATCATATTCTCATCAATATAATTTGAATTGATGTATCAATTTATTTACAAGTAAATTTTATTCTGCATAGTCATCATTACTTATCTGTTGATGGTGTTGTTTATTATCATCACCAAATTCATCGGAACTATATCTAAGACTTCGTTGGTAACTGTTTGTTTATCATATCGACGTTGACGTGGCTTATTAACTTTAAGAGAAGTATAATATTCGTGTTTCGAGACATATCTAATCTATAAAAGAAAAACTGATACTTCAAAATGCTAGAAAATAAAGGAAAAAAGTACTTTGAACATTGTTTCAATATCTATGAGCAAGGAAAAAGTGTACACAATTTTCCTCCTGCTAGATCAAAGTAGGCTCCCAATACTCTCTATTCTAGACTCAAACTAGTGGTAAGGCATTATTTCGTGCGAAGAATAAACTGACGATATAATTTCATCAATCTCGTCATCCAATTGAGAATAATACATTTCCATATATCGATGTTGGTTATCGTCATTCATTGATAAGGATTTATTGTTTCTTAGTACTACCAACTTTTGTTTCCCTGTTCACATCAAACAATAACATTTCTTGTTTGATTAATTCAAGACATTGTTTTCGTTGTTTATCAGGACATCTTTTCATCTGCCTCGGTTTTGGATTCAAGAATGCTCCCATTAAATGGATAGGATGAAATGTAAACTTTTCTTGTAAAATCTATTTGGCTCGTTTTCGAAAAAACAACAGACCTAAACGAAAATCATCTATTCAGTTAAGCTTCATAAAACTCAAACGTATCCTTAGTAGAAGAATAGAGAGAGAATGAATAATTTCCAGTCTAACAAGTTTCTTTTACCTTTTTCTAGTGGTTTCGTGTTGTTTGGTGAATCTTCAAGTGCGCTGTTTAGCACGTCGGTACTCGATATCGACGTGCTAAACAGCACGTCGCCAAGTAAAAACCATAAAATCAATATTACCACAACCTAATCTAATGCCAACAACATGGAAAGACGCATTGAAAATATTAGGTAAAACATGTGTGTCCAAAATGGCTAAAGAAGTTGATTACATAATACTTAAATAGCCCCTAGGACATTCTCTACAAAGAGTCTCTATTACTCTACAGTTCCTTTGAGTATTTTGACATGACATAACATCAGAATTCAGAACACTCGAAGTTTCTCGCTGTGATTTTGCGAGTATGTGTGAATGAATAATTTTTTTTCATCCTCCTTATATATAGATTATTTGCATACGCTTATTTGTTTTCTTTCCTGCGTGGCTCGATTGTACTTATAAAGACGAGAAGTACGCACGAAAAGCGAAGGCATATTGTACAAGGCATTTATTCGATTCGAATAAGAGTCAGCAGAGAAGAAAAATGAAGCATGTCGCCTTCTTTTTCCGTTCATCCAGCATTGAACAGTTATCTTCAGCGTCATTATCTTAGTTGGAATTCTGATTCATCTTAATTGTTATAGATAAACTTATAGTATCCATACTCTTTGTCGGAGTTATACATGGAAGTTGATTTTTCCAATTGCATTGACTTACTACTACACTACTAGACTAGATATTAGAACAAAAAAATTAATATAAAAGGTTCATTGATGCTAATCTCTGAAACATAATAAATGTTATTTGAATGAAAGAAACGAACATTCTTAGTAGAGCAGATATTGTTTATTGTAAAGAGTAACACTTGCTAAAGCTTTTTCTGGCAAAAAATGTTTTTATTCTGTATTATGGTGTTATGATGTTGTTTGTGAATCGACTTATGCCTTTTCCGGTCGGAAAAGATTCAGATACTGATCAAATTATTTCTGCCGCGTACCCTCTGAGTTAGCCTAGTTATTTATCAGATAAATTGTCGTCGTTAATACCGCGTAATAAACAATAGTAACCGTAATTTTTTCCTAGAACAACGTAATCCTTGGGTCACGATCACGAAAAATATTTCTAATCAGGTACCGTCAATAAAACTGTAGTATCTATAGTTAAAAAGGTCTCGGTTCCAAAAAAAGTAAC